TGGATTTAGCAGCTGTGTTTGTGGTTGGTGCAACATTGGTTGTTGAGGATGGAACAGTTGTGGTTGTGGTTGGAGCAGCCGTGGTTGTTATTGCAGCAGCTGTGGTTGTTATTTGAAAAGCTGTGATTGTGGCTGGAGCAGTTGTGGTTGCTGTGGCAGCAGCTGCGGTTGTGATTGGAGCAGCTGTGGTTTTGGTTGGAGCAGCTGTGTTTGTGGATGCAACAGCCGTGGTTGTGGTTGGAGCAGCTGTGGTTGTGGATGGAGCTCCCGTGGTTGTTGTGTGAACAGCTGTGCTTGTGGTTTGAACAGCTGTGGTTATAGTGGGAGCAGCTGTGGTTGTGCTTGGAGCAGATGTGGTTGTGGTTTGAAAAGCTGTAATTGTAGTTGGACCTGCTGTGGTTGTGGTTGAAGCAGATGTGGTTGTGGTTGTTGCAGCAGTGGTTGTTGTCGCAGAAGCTGTGGTTGTTTTTGGAAAAGCTGCTGTTGTTGTGGTTGGTGTAGCTGTGGTTGTTGTGGCAGCAGCTGCGATTGTGGTTGGAGCAGCTATAATTGTGGTTGGAGGAGCAGTGGTTGTTGTGGCAGCAGCTGTGATTGTGGTTGGAGCAGCTGTGGTTGTGGATGGAGCTCCTGTGGTTGTTGTGGCAGAAGCAGTGGTTGTTGTTGGAGCAGTAGTGGTTTTGGTTGGAGCAGCTGAGGTTGTGGAAAGAGCAGTTGTGGTTGTAGTTGTAGCAGCTGTGGTTGTAGATGGAGCTCCTGTTGTTGTTGTGGGAGCAGCTGTGGTTGTGGTTTGAACAACTGTGGTTGTAGTAGGAGCAGCTGTTGTTGTGCTTGGAGCAGATGCTGGGGTTGTGGTTGGAGCTTCTGTGGTTGTGGAAAGAGCAGCTGTGGATGTTGTGGGAGCAGTTGTGGTTGTTGTTTGAAAAGCTGTAATTGTAGTTGGAGCAGCTGTGGTTGTGGTTGGAGCAGATGTGGTTGTGGTTGGTGCAGCAGTGGTTGTTGTCACAGCAGATGTGGTTGTTTTTGGAAAAGCTGCTGTTGTTGTGGTTGGTGCAGCTGCAGTTGTTGTGGCAGCAGCTGTGGTTGAGGTTGGAGAAGCTATGGTTGTGGTTGGAGGATCAGTGGTTATTGTGGCAGCAGCTGTGGCTGTTGTGGTAGCAGGTGTGGTTGTTGTTGGAGCAGCTGTGGTTGTGGTGATGGCACCTGTGGTTGCTGTGGGAACAGCTGTGGTTGTTGTGGGAGTATCTGTGGTTGTTATGGAAGAAGCTGTGGTTTTTGGAGCAGCTGTGGTTGTTGGACCAACTGTGGTTTTTGTTGCAGCAGCTGTGGTTGTTGTGTGAGAAGCTGTGGTTGTTGTAGGAACAGCTTTGGTTTTTGTTGGAGCAGCTGTGGTTGGTTCAGATGTGTTTGTGGTTGCAACAGCTGTGGTTGTTGTGAGAACAACTGTGGTTGTTGTTTGTGCAGCTATGTTTGTTGTAGGAGCAGTTGTGGTTGTGGTTGGAGCTGATGTGGTTGTTGTGCTTGTAGCAGCTGTGTTTGTTGTGGGTGCAGCTGTGGTTTTGGTTGGAACAGCTGTGGTTATGGGAGCTGCTGTGGTTTTAGTAGGAGCAGCCATGGTTGTTGTTGAAACAGCTGTGGTTGTTGGAACACCTGATGTTTGTCCTTCTGTTTTTAGTTTTGGTGTTACTGTTGATTTTATAATACAGGACAATTTTAATAAATTTAAGTTTTATTAATTTTTCCATTTTCAAACATTGTCATTTTATTTATTTACTCACCTGTTAATATTAGTAGAAATGTTAAAAGTTTTTCAGTCCCCATCATTAGTCAATTGTCTTGCTGTTACTGAAAGATCTAGAACAAACAAATATTATTCTATCTGAACATGAAGGTTTTTTTTTAAGTCATTTCAAAAGTAGTTTCAAATTATCTACTATGTTGAAATTGCTTTTTAAAAAAATCATCATTATGGAATTTATGTCTTTTCTATAACATAAAACCACAGTATCAAAAAAAATAAAGATATATAATTTTTGATTGCTTCATTGTCTTGTTGAGACACTGAGTAAGATACAGCAACGGTTACTCGATTGTTTGCATTTCCTGTTAAAATTTAGCATCTTTTGTCCTTTAAAAAAAAGTCATATTCCTATCTATTCATTCTGCAGCTTCTTGTAAATCATTTTACTTTTAGGAGATAGGTATTATTCTGTATTAATAAAACAGATTCAAGCTCTCACAAAATTCTGTTTTTTCCATGTCACTTCCGGCGAGCCGATGGACAGCAGCTCCCTCCAGCTTCTCTGCAGTCTTTTATCATCAAACTGACCCGTTTTTCGAACCGGACTAAAGTTGGTCCCCCTTCCAACCGAATTCGGTGTTCAGTGACTCAGAGAGCCGGACGGGACTGTCCAAAAATATATTTTGGTCCAGGACCAGCTGCTCCCACCCCACCGGTCACTCTGAGCGCACCCTGCCAGCTAGGTGACCCCTCGAGCTGGGGAGTCGTCGCACAAAGGTCCGGTGTTTTTTTCTCTCTCTCTCTGGACCCCAACAAAAACAAAATTCTCAACAAATTTCTCATCTGGACCTTTGTGGTTTTACCTGGTTCCGACAAGAATTGCCGGGTGGTATTTCGCTGGTTTTCTGCTGGACTGGCCCTCGTGTTGTCTTCATTGGTGTGGGGGAAGTGTACTCGTGTCCCCCGAACTGGACCAGAACTGAACCGAGTTGGCTGAGGGGGGCTTCGTCTTCAACAGAGCCAGTCTCAGCTTCAGTGAGCAGCCCGTTACTTTTAACGAAGGATGGTCCACCTCCGTGGAATCGCTGTGTTCGCCTGGAGGAGATGTTCCGACCCTTTGAAGCACCGCCGGAACTGGACCGGAGCAGAATCGGGCCAGGGACAACTTCAGCCTCTTCATCTCTCGAGCTGTGGTGCGCCGGAGCTGGACTGGAGCAGAACCGGACCGGACCAGTGACCACTTCAGCCACTTCAGCCCCTTCGCCTCTCGTGCTGTGGAGCGCCGGAGCAGGACTGGAGCGGAACCGGACCGGACCAATGACAACTTCAGTCTCAGCTTCTTCGGTCAGTCTCGTTTTTCACCGGGGGTGCCTCTCGTGCTGTCAGGTGCGGAGTTGACGTGCAGAGAAGCGGAGGATCAGCGCTGCGTGGTGCTCGAGAAAAGTTCGGAGTTTGCAGTTGCTGCAGGCCTCCATCCAAACTCACCTGGATAATAATAATAATTTTTATTTTGGATCACATTGTTGTCCCCTGTTGGCCAGAAATGAGCAAGGACCATGCCTTTCATTTCAGGAGGATTTTCTGGCAGCTCGCTCTCCTATTTGCTGCGAATTATCTGTTTCTGCCTGTTGGTTCTGGACCCAGTTCCTGTTTCCCATGGGAGCATTCATCCATCTTCGCAGTGGAGCTGGAGGAGCCCCCCTCAACCCAACTCAAACTGCAGTTGGGCCACCTCGTCGGGTTTGTTTGCCCATTTGATTTGTGATGTTTTATGGTCTGAAACTTTTCTGCACCATTCATATTATTGTCATTATTTTCAGATCTCAGACTATCTGGAGTCACTGAATCTTGTTAATACACCTGGATTTGTCCATCACTGCAACTTTCACTGTTTTTGGGTTCTGAATGATTGCGTGTTCATTAATGTTTCTCATGGTTCAATTATGGGGGATAAATTTCACACTACTAACTCCTGTAATTACACATCAGTCACGAAAAACTCAAGAAAATGTCTGATAATAATGTTGTTGCTGCTCTCAGGGATTCAGCCCAACCCTGGTTCCCCCACTATTTATAGGACACCAAATGACTTTAAAAACGTGTCAGGACTTCTTTCTGCATGTAAACGCATGTAGCCTTCTGAGAAAACTTGATGCCTTGAAAATTCTGATCAGTTCTTCTGGGTCAGATGCAATCTTCATCTCTGAAACCTGGCTCAACAAATCTGTACTGAATAATGACATGGTTATCAATGGATTTAACATCTACCACTGTGATCGTCAAAAAAAGGGAGGGGGGGGGTTGCTATTTACATCAGAGATTCTCTGGTTGCTAGTCTTGTGTCTTCTAAAACAATTCTAAACCAGTTTGAAGCCTTATCTGTAAACATCACTTTGAATGGAGGCCAGATGTTATCTGTAGTGGGTTGTTATCGTCCCCCCTCAACAACACCTGAGGCTCTGTCCTCCCTGATGGAATTCCTTGGAAATTTAAAATTCAAAGAGATCTTTTTGGCAGGAGATTTCAAAATTGACTGGGATAAGTTGACCACCCTTTGTGATAAATTCAAGGAATGTTGCCTGTCTCTCAATCTTACCAAACTGATCAACTCTCCGACTAGACTAAACAAAAACCGTCCTGAAAAGTCCTCCATCTTAGACCTGTTTCTAACAAATATGCCTCACAAATTCCCTGGTACAGGTGTATTCGCTAACATTTTGAGTGGTCATTGTGTGACAGCAACTCTGAGAGATATTAAACTTCCACCTTCTAAGCCCATATTAATTCAAAAAAGGGATCTGAAACATTTTTTGTGAAAAGTCATTCCTCTGGGATCTGTCTCACTTTGACTGGCATCGTATTCTATTAATTGATGACATGAACTCCGCTTGGAACTATTTTCATAACAGTTTCATTTATTTTGTGAACAAACATGCTCCTTTTCGTCAGTTCAGAATAAAGGGACGAGACAGCCCCTGGTTTACTCCAGAGCTAGCTGACCTTCTGAACAGGAGAGATCATCTTTGGGCTGCAGCGAGAAAATCTGACTCAGACTCTGATTGGTTGAGTTTTCGACAGATGAGGAATAAATGCACAACTGCCATCAAAGCAGCAAAACGCAAATATTTCTTATCTCAGATCTCCAAAAATCTAAATGACCCTAACAGATTCTGGAAAAGCATCAAATCTCTCTCAGGCTCCCCCCAATCATCTGACCTCCCATCACAACTTCTCGTTAACTCTGTTCCTGTGTAAATAAGCATGAGATCCTGAACTGTTTCAACAAACTTTTTTTTGCTTCTAGTTCTTTATTTGACACATTTACTAATGGAAAATCAGCCACTTCACTTAATAACCAAACTTCTACAAATCAAATTCCTCCTACAAGTCTATCCTCAATTAATCACACCTTCTCTTTTTCTCCATTCTCAGTCAGTGAGGTTAATAAACTGTTAAAAGGTCTTGATCCTAAAAAATCTGCAGGTCCAGATGAACTTCCACCTTATTTCTTAAGGCTGGCCGCTCATATCATCACAGTCCCTGTGACCCACAGCTTCAATCTTTTCATAAGCCAAAACTCCATTTCAGATGCTTAGAAAACATCCTTTGTTCTTACTTTGCTGAAGGGAGGTGGCCCCACCTCACTGAACAACTATCGACCAATCTCTAAACTCTGCCAAGGTTCTAGAAAAACTGATAAACTCTCAAATCAAAAATTACCTGGACTTGTTAACATCTTACCTCCCCATCAGTCTGGTTTCAGGAAACAACACAGCACAACCACTGCTTCACTGAAGGTTCTTAATGACATTGTTGAAGCACTGGATGCCAAGGATTATTGTGCCACACTTTTCCTAGACCTGTCTAAAGCTTTTCACATTGTGGATCATAACATCTTGTGTCATAAGCTCTCTGAAATCGGTTTCTCAGAACACACCATTGGTTGATTCTCTAACTATCTCTCAGACCGAAGGCAATGTGTTCAACATAATGGTACTTCCTCCAGTTATTTAACAGTCAACAATGGTGTACCACAAGGCTCAGTCTTAGGACCCACCCTCTTTACAATCTACATACATAATGTAGGTAAAAACATCCCTAATGCCTCCATGCATTTCTATGCTGATGACACAGTTGTTTATTGTCGAGCTAAAACAGTTGATAAGGCTTTCCAGCTTTTGAAATCTGCATTCAGCAACATCCAGACAGATTTGTTCCGCCTCAAACTTGTCCTAAATGCCGACAAAACCAAAGGGATGCTTTTTTCAAATAGGAAGTTGGTCCCAGCAGTTCTTCCTCTGATCTCATCCTCAAATGGTGTCCCCATTGAGTTTGTTGATTCCTATAAATATTTGGGTATCTTGGTCGACTCGCATCTCTCTTTTAAGCTCCATGTGGAAAACTTGGTAAAGAAACTGAAAGTTAAACTGGGTTTCTTTTTCAGAAACAGATCCTGTCTAACCCTGGATGCTAGGACATGCCTTGTATCTGTGACCTTCCTTCCCTCCATTGATTACGGTGACATTATTTACATGAACGCTCCTACAAGAACCCTGCAGATGTTTTGTGCTGTCTATCATGGTGCACTAAGATTCATAGCTGGCTATGATTATCATACCCACCACTGCACCCTGTATTCAATGGTTAAGTGGACACCATTAACTTCACGCAGACTCTCTCACTGGTACATTTTCATCTTCAAATCACTTCTTGGTCTGCTGCCTTCATACATTTCCTCCTTCATGTCTCTGCGTGACTTTGACCACATTTCTCCTGTTTTATCCTCCCTGCACTGGCTGCCCGTAGATTCCAGGATTCATTTTAAAATTATTTTATTTGCTTTTAAAGCTCTTAATGGACTTGCCCCGCCCTATCTGTCTGAGTTGCTGCATGCATACACACCCTCTCGATCCCTCGGGTCATGTGATCATCTGCTCCTGAGTGTGCCAAAGACAAAGCGTAAGATCAGAGGAAACTATGCTTTTTCTGTGGCATCTCCTAAACTGTAGAATGACCTTCCCTTGAACATCAGACAGGCTTCTTCTCTGTCTGTTTTTAAATCCCTTCTTAAAACCCATCTTTTCTCTGTGGCCTTTGTCACCATCTGAGATTTTGACTTTTATTCATTTTAATTGCTTGTATTATCTGATTGTATGATTGTTTTATGATGTTCAACTTTTATTATGTGATTTTAATCATTTTTATTATCTGACTGTGTGATTGTTTTGTTGTGTGTACAGCACTTTGGTCCTGTAGGTGTTTAAAATGCTCTATAAATAAAGCTTGTATTGTATGGTATATTCCCTTCCTGGGCTGCCGCCTTACCGTGGTGGAGGGGTTTGAGTGTCCCAATGATCTTAGGAGCTATGCTCTCAGGGGCTTTATGCCCCTAGTAGGGTCACCCAAGGCAGACAGGTCCTAGGGGAGGGACCAGAAAAAGTGCAGCCCAAAGAACCCTATGATGAGTAAAATAAATGGACTTGATGTTCCCTCACCCGAACGTGGGTCAACGGGACCCCACTCTGGAGCCAAACTTGGAGGTGGGGCACGCGGGTGAAGGCCTGGTGGCCGGGCTTTTACCCATGGAGCTCGGCTGGGCACATCCCGAAGAGGAGACGTGGGTCCCCCTTCCCATGGGCTCACCACCTGTGGGAGGGGCCAAAGGGGTCAGGTGCAATGTGGGATGGGTGGTGGCTGAGGGTGGGGACCCTGGCGGTCTGATCCTCGGCTACAGAAGCTGGCTATTGAGACGTGGAATGTCACCTCACTGGTGGGGAAGGAGCCTGAGCTGGTGTGTGAGGTTGAGAGGTTCCGGCTAGAAATAGTCGGACTCACCTCTACGCAAGGCTCTGGCTCTGGAACCAGTTTTTTTGAGAGGGGCTGGACACTCTTCCACTCTGGAGTTGCCCCTAATGAGAGGCGCCGAGCAGGAGTGGGCATACTTATTGCCCCCCATCTTGGTGCCTGTGTGTTGGGGTTCACCCTGGTGAATGAGAGGGTGGCCTCTCTCCGCCTACGTGTGGAGGGACGGGTTCTGACTGTCGTTTGTGCTTATGCACCAAAAGGCAGTTCAGATTATCCACCCTTTTTGGAGTCCTTGGAGGGGGTGCTGGAGAGCGCACCTCCTGGGGGCTCCCTTGTTTTACACGGGGGCTTCAATGCTCACGTGGGCAATGACAGTGAGACCTGGAGGGGTGTGGTTGGGAGGAACGCCCCCCCGATCTGAACCCGAGTGGTGTTATGTTGTTGGATTTCTGTGCTCATCATGGATTGTCAATAATGAACACCATGTTCAAGCATAAGGGTGTCCATATGTGCTCTTGGCACCAGGACACAATAGGTCGCAGTTCGATGATCAACTTTATCATTGTCTCATCTGATCTGCAGTCACATGTCTTGGACACTCGGGTGAAGAGAGGGGCGGAGCTGTCCACTGATCACTACCTGGTAGTGAGTTGGCTCCGATGGTGGGGGAGGATGCCGGTCAGACCTGGCAGACCCAAACGTGTTGTGAGGGTTTGCTGGGAACGTCTGGCAGAGTCTCCTGTGAGACGGAGTTTTAACTCCCACCTCAGGGAGAACTTCGAATGTTCCGGGGGAGGTAGGGGACATTGAGTCCGAGTGGGCCATGTACCGTGCCTCTATCCTCGAGGCGGCTTACCGGAGCTGCGGCTGCAAGGTTGTCGGTGCCTGTCGTGGTGGCAACCCTTGAACCCGGTGGTGGACACCGTCAGTGAGGGATGCTGTCAAGCTGAAGAAGGAGTCCTATTGGGCCTTTTTGGCCTGTGGGACCCCGGAAGAAGCTGATTCCGGCAGTCCAAGCGACATGCGGTTTGGGTGGTCGCTGAGGCAAAAACACAGGCATGGGAGGAGTTTGGAGTGGCCATGGAGAATGACTTCCGTACGGCTTCGAGGTGATTCTGGGCCACAATCTGGCGTCTCAGGGGGGAAAGCGGTACGCCACCAACACTGTTTAAAGTGGGAGTGGTGCGCTGCTGACCTCAACTCGGGATGTCGTGGGTCGGTGGGCAGAATACTTTGAAGACCTCCTCAATCCCACCGGCCCATCTTCCACTGAGGAAGCGGAGCCTGGGGACTCTGGGTCGGGCCCTCCAATCTCTGGTGCTGAGGTCACCAAGGTGGTTAAAAAGCTCCTCGGTGGCAGGGCCCCAGGGGTGGATGAGATTCGCCCGGAGTTCCTTAAGGCTCTGGATGTTGTAGGGTTGTGTTGGCTTACGCAACTCTGCAATATTGCGTGGACATCGGGGGAAGTTCCCCTGGATTGGCAGACTGGGGTGGTTGTCCCCCTATTCAAAAAGGGGGGCCGTAGAGTGTGTTCCAACTACAGGGGGATC